TTTCTGGCTATGGCCAGAGCCATACAAGGTACCATAGAGAACTCAGAAAAGGTATAGGACCTGATTTTTGCCTGAGAGAAGTACCCTTCAAACAGGAGAGAGCAAGGTTAATCTCAAGAGCAATCAGATTCCCCCATGGTGCCTTGCACAGTTCCTGGTATAGTATAGAAGCTGCATGAATGAATGAATACAAGGGGACCATCGGTAACTAAATTAGGGGAGGCACAGAGCACTTATAAGTCAGAAGACAACAAGATCCACAGGTCTTAAAGAAGGTACCCTGGAGAAGTGAAAGTGGAGGTGGCATGAAGAATGAGCAGAATTTGATGATTTGGAGGCCAAATGAAGTATAAAAAATAGAAGGAAGAATAAAGGTAGGTCAGTGAGAAGCTCAAAGCTGAAGACAGGGCCTGGGAAGCCTAAAATTCTGAGAGGCTTAGGGAATCCAGAAAAGAGATTAGAGACAGAAGGAGGAGTCTGCTTCCATGGGGGCCTGGGAGCTAGCTCAAGGAAGCCACTAATATAGACAGAGGCTAGAAGTGGAAGACAAAGGATTATAAAGGAAATACATTCTTGCCTGGCCTTGAGCAAATCGTTTAATCAGACTCTGAGCCTCTGATTCCTCACCTGTGAGTCTGTGAGAATGAGGTGAGGCTGTGCAGATGGAGCCCTGCCCTGCACTAAATACATGCTCAGCAAATGTTAGTGTTTTGCCTTCCTGGTAAAAAAGGGTTTGGTTCAGAATAGTCCAGTCTTGGATGCTGATCAGAAATCCAAGCCCAAAGAAAGGCTGAGTGATATCTAGAATCCTAGAACATTGGTATCTAAAGGAACTGCGGCAGTCAGTCAACTTTCAACTGTTACCTCTAAGTTACAAAGTTACCACTACACTTTGTACTTGTATTTTTTGTTTATTGAACACTTACTATATGTCAGGTCCTATGCTAAACACTGAGAATACAGAGATTAAAAATAAACAAACAAACAGATAAGACTTTTTTTCTCTTTCAGGTAAGAGAGGTATCCTGGAGAAGTAGTCCAATCTCTCAGTTTCCAGAAATATTTGCCCGCAGTGGTGAAATGACTAGTTCATAGCCACACAGCATGATAGGACAGGTCAAGACTAGACACTATTTTAGTCTCCAATCCTAATCCCACTAAGCCCTGATGTCAGGCTGCATCTTGGAGGCCTCAGACTCTACCCAGTCTCTAGTGCATTAAGTGGCTGGCTGTGCAGCCTTAGGCAAAGCATGCAATCTCTCTGACCCTCAGTCTCTCCATATGTAAAATGGGCCAATAATAATCCCCATGTCACAAAGTTGCCACAAGACTCAAGGTGCAGTAAAGTGCATGGAAATGCATTGTGCTCTCTAGACTCTGTATTGTGCAAGCAGCGTCTGCTCCTCTTCAGTTCACCTGGGCATCTTTCTCTTGGGCAAGGCAACTTTTCATGGCCACACTGGGTGTTTCTTCTCTACTTAGCAGGCATTTATTGAGCACCTCTTATGTCCTCCATTTTTAGCAGTTACTAAAGACCTATAGGACATAACCCTGCCTACAAGGGCTCAGCCTGTTTGGAGAACAGTACAAATGAAGGAAACATGGCCATCTATAATTAGGATCAAAATGAGTGGCATCAAGTCCAGAGTCCTGAGGGAAGCCACAGGAAAGATGGAACTTAAGCCAGTCATGGAGACTAAAGGTAGCTAGGGGATGGGAGGAGGTATTTCAGGCAGGAGAACAGCCCTGGCAAAGGGACTGGAAAAGGCCAACTCATGCACTGCTGGCTCTTGTGACTACCTTCTGGCTCTTGGGGCCAGTGGAACAAAGTGGAAGTTTCTAGGGGAGGCCCTGGCATGGCCATGGGTCTGGGTGCCCAGCCAGTACCAAGCCCAACCAGGCCTGTAGCCATATTTCTGGGCATGTGCTCCCTAATCATTTCTGAATGAACTGGAATATGCCATTTTAGGCCCCTCATCAGAACCCTGTAGAATCCTAGGGTGGGGCCTGGGGCCCAAGGGTAAAGAAAGCTGGTAGGACTGCGGAAGTCAGGAAAACAAGGGGGAGGCAGAAGGGACAGGGAACACGTCAGAGAACCCTAAAAGAGGAAGCAGTCCAGTCTCAGTTCCGCTCGCAAGGATGGGAAATACCCTTCAATTCTCCCAGCCCTCAGCAGCTGTCCCTGTCTCCTTACCTGAAGCCACCAACCCTGGGGCCAGGACCACCAGGACCATCCTTTCAAGTTTCCCCAAGGTTGCTAAGTCCTGAGCACTTCCAGGGGCCCTAGGGCAGCCCTGCATGAGTTGCAGACCCAGGATCCACACTGATTAGGGCATAGCTGAGATTTTATTGAAGCTGGACACCCCATAGGTTAAGGAAGGGGCCCAACCCTCAAAGCTGAAATCCAAGGAAGGATGCCAAAATCAGCCCATCTACCCTCACCCTTCTTCTCCCAATGAGCTTTCAAGGAAGGGAGGGATCCAAAGCTATTGGGACTCTTGCCCACTGCTAACTACTCAGGGGTAAAATAGTTGGAGCCCAGTTGAAGACCAAAAATCCCAGAGACTGGTTTATTAAGTCAGAACCTGGCTATGCTGGGAGAATAACCTCCAGATCCTAGTGGGAAATGAAGGGGTAGCTGGTCAATACCCTCTCTTCCTTCCTCTACAATCCACTAGAACCTAAAGCAAGAAAGAAACCAGGCTTCAGGAGACAAGGCTAGGAAGACAAATAATATGGCTTCTCTCTTCCTTGCCTACTTCTTTCCTGGTCTCCAGCATCTTGTTGGCCTTTTCGTTGGGACATCAGCAGAGAGACCAGTGGCTAGAAGTTCTAACTGCAGGCTTCAGCAGTGGCAGGGCCCCTCTCAGGCCCTACTCCATCCATAGCTACTCCAGGAATGTAGTTTCCCTGCATTGAACAACTCTGCATTAAGAACCTACTAAGACGACATCCAGTGCAAGCAAGTTCAATCTCAGATCCAGCGGGCAGAGACTGGAGGAAGGAGTAATGGCTCACAAGGCAAACTGTTCTGCTATCCACCAAAATACACTTGGTTCTTGATTTCCTTTGTGCATTATCTGCCTTTCTTTAGAGCCTAGCCTGGGTTCCTCTCTCTCACTCCCACCATTTCTAGTCTAACTTCCCCATCTCAGGGCAGGCCTTGCACAGGAAATGCATGACACCAAGAGATAGAATTCTCCCCCACTCCCATGTCCAACCCATCACAAGAACCTAAAAACAAGACCATGTTCTAGACTGTTTTCTGCACTGCCCTTAAAATTGTTTGGGAGGCTATTTGTCCCCGAGGCTGGTTAGCAGCAGGGAAAATGGACCAGGTGCATTCCCACATGACTTTGCCTCTTGAAGATAGAATTGGTTTTCCAGCCCCTGCAAAGGAAAGTGACTGGAGACACAGTCCTTAGGCCCTGCCCACATGGAGCTGAACTGGGAGGGCTTTGCTCTCCAGGATGCCTAGAACTCCTCCCACAGGCTCAGGGACCTCCTGGGAACCAGTCTTTCCTCCCTAGGGAATAGCTGCTTCTTTTGTTTCTGTGAGAAAGCCATTGCTACTCTGCCAGAATCTGTCCCCAGAGGCCTAACTTTCCTGGGGACTCTCAAGCCACTGGCGATAGTACACCCAAAGAAGACTTCTTGTCCACAATAAGGGGCCAGGCCAGGTCAGACCAAGGGAGATGAAGGCAGCCTGGGTGAGCACTGGTGGAGCAGATGCTGAGTCAGGAGCCCCCTCCTGCAGAAAAAGAAGAGAGAGTGACAAGAGATGAGGCTTGGTAAGGATTCCTCTAAACCATGTCATCTGGCTCGGCTTCTCCTGAGCAATAGGAAAGTAACAGAAGGAGGTATACCTGAAGAAGTTGAATGTGGTCTTTGTTATGTCCAAGAGGGCCCAGTCCCTAACTCCGCCCCTCGTAGTGTGGGAAAACAACTTCTCCTTTACCTTTGCGTGGGAACCAGACCTTGTCTCTGGGTTAGCAATGCTACATGCTCACCTCCCACTTCACTGGACTCTTCTCCTTTCCCCGCCAATTTACTTGCCCAAAAATTCCCACCAAAAAAGCCCACCTCAAGCCCTATATAAGTTCCAGGTCCCCTCGCATTCAGGGCTGATGCCATCTTTGGCTCAGCCAGGCTGTCACTCTGCTACAATAAATCTTGCTTAACCCCTTTGGCCTTGTGCATTCCTCCTTCAGTGCACCTAACAATGTTCTTTGGTGAGGAGGTAAGAGAGAATCTGGGCATCCATGAGAGACTGCTGGAGTGAGAAAAATGTCTGAATTAGGAAAAAGTAACTGTGATGTTGAGAAGGGTGGCCATGAAGCCAGTCCATGACTCCTGGGCTTAGAAAGTTCAGAAACAAAGCTCTAGAGCAGAGGTTTCCAACAGTTTTGGCACCAGGGACCAGTGCTCCTATGAAACTCTAAAGCCAGATGATCTGAGGTAGAGCTGAGGTGGTGATGCTAGTACTGGAGAGTGGCTGAAAATACAGATGAAGCTTCTCTCACTTGCCCACAGCTCACCTCCTACTGTGCAGCCCAGTTCCTAACAGGCCATGGAACAGTACCAGTCTGTGGCCTGGAGGTTGGGGATCCCTGCTCTAGAGTAATGCTTCCTGGATAGGGTGACCATTTGGAACCTTTACCTCAGAGTGAAGGGTTCAGACACAAAGTTCTATTCTAAAAGCTTCCATCTAATTAGAAATGGAACCTCCCCAGGAAAGAAAGACAGGACATGGACTGGGTGGACAAGTACAAAAGAAATAGTCCAGTGTTGGCAGGAGGTGGGGATAGCATGACCTTGAGCTTTCATTTCTGAGATCATTTTCTATAGCACCAACTCATCTCTTTGGGTTCCAAGCAGTCCTTGGTGCTAGGCTTGGTGCCTGGCCTGTTTGAGGACCTTACTGGAACATCAAACTCATTAAGGAGCTCACCAACCTTTCACTCACCTCTCCTGGGCTCAAAAAGGCCGATGTTGCCCCATCACACTAGCCTATTGGAAAATTTCATGTAGCCGCCATCTGAACTGCTGATGCGGCCACTGATGGTGAAGGGTGGACCTATCTCCAGTTCCTTCGAGTTCCTGAGAAAGATGATCCAATCATGTTATTGGGACTGAGAACTCAGCCTCTCCCTGGAAGCCCAACCTCCTGGTGGTGACTCACTGACTCACACTGACTTACCTTCCAGAATAGGAGCTATGCCATCTCTAGGGCCAGACAAGGAGCAGAGAGGATGAGATGACTTACTCCAAGAGTACTTTCTGACTCCAACTACCTGAATCCCTGATAGTTTTCATTTGCTCCTTTCCTTTGACATTATATTATGCCTGAGATTATATTATTTGCAAGCAAGCCTAGACAGTGAAATGCCTGAAAACAGAGACTATATGCTTAGTTATCTCTGTACCCTTAGAAACTAATGCCACAATACCAGCTACAATAGGTCCTTCCTGAATAAATGATGAGTAGATAATGAAAGATTAGTGAATGAATGAATGATTAGATGGTCCCTGTCTAGGGGTGATTGTTAAGAGGATCTCTGTCAGCAGAGTCTTACATGATCTTGTCCATATTCAAGTTTTCATTCAGGGAACTTTCTAAAGAGACCCTGGCTCCTTCTTTATCTCTTGTTTGCTTAAGGCATGGGGAGGAGACAAGAAAGGGAAGCAGTAAGTTTGGATCCATCTTTGATTCTTTCTCAAGCATACCTAACCTCCCACCTCCACCCCACCCAGATCTGTCCTGAATCTACTCACCGGATCTGGTACAAGTTGAAGACAAAATTAGGCCCTAGAAAAACAATCCAAAAAGAGAGAATTAGTACATCGAGGGAGAGATGCTCATCACCCCTTCGGAAACATCTAGTGCTCCCTCACCCCTCTCTGGGAGGAGTGGGGTGGCTGGGCTGGGCCTCAGGATGCTGTGAGAGGGTCTCAAGTTCCTGTAGTATCTGATTCCTGTCCCATGCCCATGGGTACTCCTCATCTTCCCAGACTGAATCACCAGCCTTTTGGGGATAGATCCTGCCACTGGGGATCCCTCCATTAAAAGCACTAATTACCCTGGGGAGAAGGCAGTCTTAGCTTGGTGCTCCCAAAGAAGCAGACCTAGGCTTGAATCTGGACTCTACCACTTTCCAACCTTGTGACTTTAGCCTCATCTATAAAAAACAGACTATAAATTTCATCTTCACATGGAATTTTAAAGAAAATGATATTAGGAAAAAGTTCATTGGCACATAGTAGGTGTTCAACAAACATTCATGGAAGTTGTTGAATTTAATTGTATAACTGGGAAATATTCTCTACCTCTCAGCATTCCATCATGTCCTCCTAGTTCTCCTGGGTCTTATGGGAAGTACAGATATGGATCAGATTTGGGAGTACCACAGCAAATTCCAGGAGACTCTTAATGAAGCTGAAGCATCAGTAAGCTTAGGAAGACCTACAAGCAGAGGAAGAGATGCACAAGGAGCCACAGTGAGGGATACCTGGAGCTTGGCCTGTCTAGCTTGTTGCCCTTGGCCTTAAGGCCCACACAGTCCTTGGGGTTGGACTCCTGTGAGCTTAGAGAAGAGGAAGTTGGCTGCTTGCTGGGGTAGAAGGAGTGCCCACTCCCTTGATAAAGTGCCTGGTACTCCACTCCCACCACCTCAAGTGCTCAGCCACCTACTCAAGTCTTCAACCACTGCAGTCACCACAGGAAATATTTTTGCATGACACCATACTAAAGAGTCTGCAGCCCCACCTAAATCACCAACTGCTAGAGGAGAGGCGGAGCTTGGCAGAACTGGGGTAACAGGGTCCATTGCTCACTCACCCTCCCAACAGTACCCACGCTGGTACCACTTAGCCAGACTGTAGCCGAGGATGGAAACAAGCAGCAGCGATAGCCCCACACCGAGGATCAGGCCCAAGGTGCTGATGGAGTCCTCACCTGCAAAGAGAAACAACATCCTTCACCCAGCTGCCCAGAGCCCTCTCACAGCCCCGGGGCTACACTGACTCATCTGTACCATTTTCCGAATTTCCTCTCTTCCCTCCTTACTGCCTTCAAAATGACTGTCCCCTAAGAATTTTGATCTGAGCTAGCTAGTCCAGCTAAACTATACTAAGAAGTGAATGTAAGACATCTCATTTTTTAGAGTTAGCTTGTATATCCAAAGCAATATTCCTCTGATAGTACAAATAGTCTGGATCTGGGAAGCCTTCCCAAAGCCACAAGCATTCTTCTTGTTGAAAAAGACACTGCTGTTTGAGGAAGAGTCCAGGGGGTCTCCCCACAGCATAAGTCTGCTGATCAGGAAGCTCAGCCTGGAGGGCCCCAAGAGCAGAGACCTGGAGATCCTTGGCACCCTCCTTGCAAAGCTCACATACCCAGTGGCAGGGTATTAACTCTTTGGACTCTCTTTGCTGCTTATACTCATCGTTTCTACCCTTTTTGTGGTATGAGCTCCTAGCTAATTATATATGTATTTTTATAAAGCCAAACAGAGAAGGAAAGGGAGAGGGAGGGAGGGAGGAAAGGAGAGATTTGACACCTGCTGGGAGATGAGATGGGCCCAAAGCAGAAGCAGAGAGGGAAGTCACGTTTTCAGGAAGAGGATGACATGGGCACAAATGGGGGAAAGTAACTCTGACTGGGGCTATCGCTGCTGCTTGAAGGAAGAGGAAAGGCAGTCCTGCTTCTGCCAGATAAGGTGCCAGGAGTGTGTATGGATACATTGATGCCCCATCTACATGGCCCTGTGTCCTAGGGGTCTAAAGGTGTTGCCAAAAGGCCAGGAGGTACCGTGGTTAAGCACAGCCTTTGGCACATCAAGATTGCGTCCAAAGCCTAGGTCTATCATTTGCAAAATGTGGGACCAGAGCAAATCATTTTCCCTCACTAAACTTCAATTTACTCTTATGAAAAGTAAACATAATAATAAATACACATAGAGTTGTTGTGATGATTAGTGGAGATGCCATATATTGAGCACTTAGGAGAGGATCTGGCATACACTAAGTGCTAGAGAGATGTTAATTATATCGTTGTTGTTGTTTTCAATATTATTATCCAACGGTGCAATTGAGTTTTTAAAATATTTTACAATTCCCCCAACCCAAGCTTTCCCTTCTCCCATGTTCCTTGGTTTTTCTTCCCATTAAAGCAACCAGCTTATTGTCTACTTAGCAAAGAGAATGTGACAATGAAATTCAGAGGGAAAGGGTCTCCTTATTTTTAGATTTCAAAAGCCCAAGCCTTTAAAAATGGAAAGGAGTCTCAACATAGACAAGAAGTTAACAAAGCAAGCATATCCTCTTAGCCATATTGAGGCGGGGAAATCTCCAGCCTGGGAGAGGGAAAGGAGAGAGATAAAGAAAAAGCACTGGAAAACATTAAAAAGATGTCAATGGATCCCAAAGGGAAATTCCTTGTTCCCTAATTCAAAGCTGAGCCTCAGAGAGGCCATAGAGTTCCCACACAGATTTATAGGATCCAAGAGCTGGACTGAGCCCCCAAAAGACAACAAGAGCCCAGTAAGAACAGTTGGTTAGAAATTTGTAAAGTGTAAAATGTAATATAATACTGTTCTGTTTTCTTCTAGTTATGAAGAACTTGAATTTTTTATTATTTTGTTTATAACTAGTATGTGAAATCTATAAAATACTTGTAAAGTAATAAATGGATACTTGATTTTATAATCCAATTTATTTCCACATAGTCTTTCACAGACATTCTCACAAAATTCTTGTTGAAGAGTGAGTTGTGAACCAAATAAATCTAGACGTTATCTTCTTTTCCTTTTTTTGTTGTCAAACTTAATGTTGAATATATTTAAAATAGTTTATATACTCTATGTAGGTATAAAGAAAAACTATATAACAAAGATTTGTCTAGTTTCTTGCTATTAAATGTGGTGCTCAAAAAAAGGCGCATGGAGCTCTTTGGCAGATTAGAGCCTCAGACAGCCTTGAAGAGTTGCTGTGCCCTCTCATGGCATGGGAGCAACCAAATGATTTCTGTGTCCCCAAGAAAGCAGGGAAGTCACTGAGAGGCCCTCCAGACCTAAAGGAGTCACACAGCTGGGGTTTGGGGACACTTCTGCAGCACCCTGTATGGCTAATGCTCAAAGCCCAGTCCAGGTGATGCCATCACTTAGGTTGGCACCATGGGTGCCAGTGCAAGCAGATGGCATCAGGGACTAGGCACCCCTCTCCCACTCCTTAAGTCTCCAAGAAAAGGGAGAACAGGAATCCCCAAAGCCACTAATGGCATCTTCTCTGTGCCAGGTACTGTTCTAGACATTTGTATTACAGCAATAAATAAAACACAAAATCTCTGTCCTCATGGAGATTATATTCCAGTGGAGGAAGACAGACAAAAAAATAATAAATTAAGTAAATTTGATAGTATATTGGAAGGCGATAGATGCCAAGGAGAAAGAAATAAAGCAGAGGAAGAGCTAGAATGCACAGTGGGGATGAAAGTACAGTTTTAAAGAAAGCAGTTAGGGGAGGACTCTTGAACAAGGTGATAATGGAGGAGAAAGCTCTAAAGGGGATGCGAGAAAGAACAAGCCATGGAGATAGCTAAGGTAAAAATGTTCTAGGCAGAGGGACCAGCCGATGCAACTGAGACAGGAGCATGCCACGCAGGTTCCAGAAGCATCAAGGAGCCCTGAATGATGAGCAGGGGCAAGGAATGAGGGCAAGCAGCCAGAGATGGGGGAGCAGGAGCCAGATAATGTAGTGGTTGGAAGGCAATAAAGGGCATTTGGTTTTTCCTCTGAGCTAGATGAGGAGTCATGAGAGGATTTTGAGCAGAGAAGTAACATGACCCAATGTTTTAAATGGATCACTCTGACTGGCTACTGTGTTAATAATAGTCAATAGGGGGTGATGATGAAACAGAGAGACCAGTCAGGAGGCTACTGAAAAAATCCAAGCAAGAGATAATCACTGGAGAAAACAAATGCAAGAAACTGAGAGTCTGAAGTCATGGAGAGATCATCTATGTGGATAACAGAGACCGTGAGAGTGACCCAAGAACTCAAGTCTTCAAGAACTGGGGTTAGTGACCCAGTGGTGGGTGGACAGATGACTCAGTCAGGCATAGTCATGGCATTAATGGTGTTTGTGGAAGCTGGAGTTTTGAAAGTTTTCATCAAAGAAAAGTCTCTCTGGGAGTAGAAAGTACCAGCAGGAAAGCACCAGTAGGGAAATCACAGGCCTTCTGGAGATCCAGCTGATGAAGAAAGGAGATGCACTATCTCTGTTTGCTACCATTTTGTCCCCACCCCCAACAGTGCTTTCTGGTACAGGTGGCTTTCAGATATATTTAATTACTCTATTTTATCTCTTTATCTTTCTAGGATGCTCCTTTCATTAATATTCTTTACTTAGTTTCCCTTTTGTATACCCTTCCACTTGTATTATAAAATATTTGATGCACACAAGAAGTACATAGAATAACATGATTAACATCCATGTGCCTCCCACTAATCTTCAAAGAATTATAAAATTTTGTCATTCTTTCTACTAAGTATCTCAGTCCTCTTCTACCTTTCCCTCTAAGTAACTGTTCTCCTTAAGTAACTGTTAGCTTCCCTATGCATGTTTTTTATGCTTTATTTCATTTTATACCCATAAACTATATTGTTTTATGTTTTCAAACTTTATGTAAATTATATTGAGATTACTTCCACTTTTAATAGTGAAGACCAGATTTACTCTCCCACCTTAAATAACTAGAAAACCAGACAAGATAATAAAATAATGGAGAAAGATAGTGCAAGATGATGATCCCCCAAAGAAGGAGATGAAATGAGGTGTGCTTTATGATTGCCCAGCTTACTGCTCAGGCTGAGTTACAACTCACAATACAGGGAGGTCAGACCCAAGAAGAGTCCAGCGGTCTAAGCTAAGGAGAAAGAATCTGGCATTCGAGAGACCAACACAACTCAAATTTATGGGACAAAACAGGGATCTGCAAAGGAGTCCACTGATGTTTTTGGCTACAGCTTTTTATTTAATTATTTTCTTCTAAAATTGTCAAGTGTTGTTTTTCATAGTTAGAACAGTAATCTACCTGGAATTCATTTTGTATATGTTATAAGAGAAATTAGTAAATACTTAAAACTGAATAATAGTGAAAGCACAACATGTCAAAAAACATGGGTTAAGGAGACAGTCCAGGGAGACCAAGGCAGTGGGAGTTCACAAGACAGATGCAAGAGCTGCACAGAAAGAAAACCCCAGAGATGTGCAGAATACTCAAGTATTCAGTAAGGCACAGATCAGTGCATGTGAGTCAATAAGCTATCTGAAGCCAGAGAGAGAATCATCCGAAAGGGTTAGTGGGAACAATGTCTAGCATTCAAAAGGGGCTGAGACTAGTGCCTGTTTTATATGCCATACTGGAAAAATTCAAAATTTACAGGGCATTAGATGGAGAACTCAGGAAGGTCTTGCCTCAGCAGTGGGGAATAATTAGCCTCAGACTGAGTACTGCTCTAGGTCCATCTAACAAATCAGAAAAGCGAAACCAGAAGGGATCAAACTGCTTCCAAGTAATTTAACTGCTTCTCAGAACATTAACAGGAAAATAAAAATATCCAGCACTCAACAAGGTAAAAATCACAAGGTCTGGCATTCAGTCAAAGATTACCAGGCATGCAGAGAAGCAGAGAATCATGATCCATAATGAGGATAATTAATCTATGGAAACCAACCCAGAACTGACAAGGATATTAGAATTGGCAAACAAGAATATTAAAGTAGTTGTTATAAGTGTATTCTATATGTTCAAAATTAGGTAGAGACATTTCAAGATGTAAAAAAAGACTGAAATCATATTTCTAGAAATAAAAACCACAATGTCTGAGATTAAAAATACATTGGGTGGGATTACCAGCAAATTAGACATCACAGAAGAAAAAAGTAGTGCACTTGGACATAAGAATAGAAACTA